CACGTGAAGATCTCTACAAAGAATGGGTAAGTTTCCTCGATTATGAGGCCACGTAAGCCGAGTGAATGCTTTATTTTTGTAATAAGCTTAACCGATTTCTATACGCTGTAAAGCTGTGCATTTTTTCCTGGTAAGTTGGCCAATAGCACTGAGTACAAATGTCAATTTTCGCGATAATCTGAAAAGAAAGTGGACGGTGTGACATTTTAAAAAAGAAATTTCTTATTTGATCACTTTCTATATTTTTGTGGTCCTACGTTCTTAAGGTTCTTAAGACATTTTTGCGGTTCTTAAGACATTTCTATTTATATTGGAAACGCAGATGGTGAAGTATGCTGGATCCCCACTTCTCAGAATTGCTACCATGCACACCATTTCTTTTATAATTCCGCTAAAACTCCAATTTCGGCTGGCGTATGAATCGGTTGCTTGGTGAATTTCATTCAAATTTAAAATTTTGATCTTATCAGTTAACTAGATTTTCTACCTGATTAGATTACCCTTATTCTTGTTCCTTCGCTGTTTTTTCTGTTTATTTATTTATTTATTTATTTATTTATTCTACTTATACAAGAAACTCAACTAAAAATTTTGACAGTCGAGTTTAATTGACTCTTAAAGTAAATCTTAAATTAATTAATATTAAAACCGAGTATAAGTACAATAAAACAAATAAGAAGCAAAAAAAAGAAAAAAAGCACGTACACAACTAGCATAGAGCCAAACCCACAACCAGCGCAGGACCAAATTGTGAAATCTATTTGTTGAGTATTTCCGACGAAACTTTTCGATTGCTAATTTCGATTTATCAGCAAACTACCCATATCCTATAACTAACTCGGTTTCAATACCTAACTTGGTTATTTCGGAAGATGATGTTTTCAAAGGGTTGAGTTCTCTAAAATACAGTTGTTCGCCTGGACCTGATGGAATTCCATCATGTGCACTTAAATCTTGCGCTGTCGAGTTATGTGGTGTGATCTCAAAGATTTTTAACATGTCCTTGTATTCAGATGTTTTCCCTTCATATTGGAAGAGTAGAGTTTAAGTACGACATAGGTAAATTACGCGCATTAAGCAATGTTGCTTTAATGGACTTTAAAGAGTCCGATAATGGGAATAAGTGATAGACATCATCTAGGTTCTTGCAAACAACTCTGAGCGGGTTAAACAGCTCATAATTATATTTACATTGATTAAGCTCAACCAAGTTCAAATGCCTAGAGTACATTATGCCGGTTGGGTACATTAAAGCTTATTTCACCAAGCAGCCTAGTCAATAGCACCATTTATTACTTTGATTACAAAGGAAATGGCAAGAGCAAATCTACGTTTCTCGAGAGACGGTAGGGACAGCAGAAGCAACCTATTTTCATAGGGTGGAAGAGGGGCAATCGGGTCCCACCCAAATTCCTAAGGGCAAACAGCAAGAATTGCTTTTGAACAGATTCAATTGAATCTACACAGCACCTACATGAAGGAGACCACACAGCGGAGTCATACTCGAGTATAGATCTAACCAAACACAGGTGCAGCCGAAATAACCCACCGATGGAAGATCATTAATGTATAAACTAAATAAAATGGAACCTAAGTGGCTGCCTTGAGGTACGCCAGATATAACGGGGAATTCATCCGAGGTCATAAACTTGAACAAAACCCTGAAGGATCTGTTGTGCAGATAAGAGTTTATCCATTTCACTAAATAAAAAGGGAAGCCAGAGGCTTGAAGTTTAAAGATAAGTAAGTTATGGTTAACCGAATCAAACACTTTTCTAAAGTCAGTATATATGACATCAGTGCGAGGGCCACTAGAAAAAGCCTTGAAAACATGACAAGTAAACTCCAACAAGTTAGTGACTTTAGATCGCCCTTTCCGAAAGCCGTGCTGGTGCGGAGAAATATACGAATTAATAGCAAAGACCAAATTCTGAGTCACAATTCGCTCGAACAACTTGGGCAAGACACTTAACTTGGCTTTGCCTCTGTAGTTCTTAACAAATTTTCTACACATGATGGAATTCCATCTGGTCCTGACGCACAACAATATTTTAGAGAACTCAACCCTTTAAAAACGTCGTCTTCCGAAATAACCAAGTTAGGAATTGAGACAGAGTTAGTTATAGGATATGGATAGTTTGCTGATAAATCCATATTAGCAATCGAAAATTTTCGTCGGAAATACTCAGCAAACAGATTTGAGATTTCAAAATCATCCGAGGAATCATTAAAAGAAACATGAGAGGGATATGTGGAAATTTTTCTTTTAGAGTTAACAAATGTAAAGAAGAATTTAGGATTAGCAAACAGAGAGGATTTAATGAACTGAAGGTATCTGCAGTAATAATGATGGTTGAGGGAGTTAAATCTATGCCTCGCCACCGAGTAAGCGACATAGTCGAGCGCAGAGCCACTTTTCGAATATTTTTTGAATAGCGAGTTTTTTCTATTCTTGTAATATTCAATTGTCCTGTTAAACCACGAGTGGCACCTGCTTCGAGCTCGGCACTGCTTGATCGGAACAGATGCAGCAATAGCTAGATTTAATATATTGTGGAACGATGACAATAAGCTTTCAATACTTCATTTTGAGAAATCAAGCCTTATATGTGAAAGACGATGTTTTAGCAATACAATATTGATTTTATGAAAATCATAATATTTATTTAAAAACGTTTGATTTGGCACATTAAGGCAGTTCAACGAACCATCATTTTTATGATGAAAGGAAATGCACATTTCTGGATGATAAGAATGTAGGTAAACTAAAAGGTGGACAACGATTTACACTAATCTCAGGGAAATTGGCAAAGCAGAGATCAAGCAGACTACCATTACAATTAGGGACACGGTTGTATTGAACTAAATTACCATCAAATAATTCGTTAAAGAACACAACATCTCTATCAGATGTTGAAGTAGGAATCAAACAGCTAGAATTATTACTGTTACACCAAGTGACTTGAGACAAATTAAAGTCTCCCAACGCAACTGCCAAATTGAAGGGTTTCGACTGCTTGGCCACTTCACAAATGAGGGCGGCCTGTTTCTTATATATGGAGATATCAAAATTTGGGGGTATATAGGAGCAGGTTATAAATAGTTCTTTATTAGACATTTTCACTCGAATGGCGATAAATTCAACGTCAGGAGTAGTAGGAAATTCAATTGATTTGGACGGAAATGACGAAGATATGGCAATTAATACGCCACCACTAATGCGAACCAATCGATCATTTCTGAAAACCTGGAAAGAATTGTGAAAAAATTCAGATGAAAGTAGATCAGGTTTTAACCAAGTTTCAGTGAAGGCCAAACAGGAGAAATCTGTGCCCACTGAGTGTAGCAAAGTAAAACGAATTTATGAATTTAGGCCCCTAACATTTTGATAAATGAGAGATAGTGAGCCTGAAGAAACATTTAGTTTTTTGAAGGCGACAGGACTACTGGTTAAATATTATAGGGACGATCACGAGATATAAATTTCCTGATTATGGATCCAACTGGGCACAGTGGTTTATATAACAACATATCAATATTTTCATTCAAAGCAAGAATTTTAAAAGAAGCGATTGCTCTCGATTGAAACGGAGCCAATTTAAAAATACTAACACGCTTTATATTGACTCATGGGACTTTCGCCGCCAGGTAACTTTTTATGTTTTCCACAGATGTATCGGGTGCCAGTCTTGACACAAATAATGCTTTTCTGGGAGGAACTGCCATCAAGCCAATGTCATTACAGCTAGGAGCAGTATGGTTCGAGTGGGGAGTTTTGAGTTGTGGAGAATATAAATGGGGTTACCAATAGTCTTCATTAGTTTTAGACGATGACGGCTGAGTTGAGTGAGTGACGCCACTAGGAGGCGATACTCTTGCCACTTCAGCATAGCTTAAGCTAGAAGAACCTGCCGGCTTATTAGTAACCTTTTTGTTACAGACCGACTCAGCCATATCAGAAACGCTGACGTTCTTTGAGGACATTACGGAAGCGCTAACTTGCACCAACAAATCGGACTTAGGAGGAATTACAGGTGGCGTACCACACGCTACGCCACGAGTTGTGATTTGACTAGCTTGGGAAGAAGAGGAGTGCTCAATAAAACGACACTCGTCAAACGTAGTCTTAATGATCTGAAACTTTTCCCAAAAGGAGCCGAGATTTTTTTTCAATTCAGAGGAACCATTTTTCGTCTCCGTGAACAATTTGTAGAAGTCTCTGTCCCGCTTCCTACAGTCAGGACATGACCATTGTAAGCTTTTCGAGGGATCAACGACTGCATCAGCAGCACGGTCGATATTATCGGCACACTTTGCATGGCCAAAGCGATCGCAAAGCCAACACGAAACGAATCTTTTATATTCCGGGCCCGTTTTTGCCCGATAAGATGTATGTAAAAACTCCATGTCCAGTCTAAAAGACGGGAGTGGATTATGAAGAACAGACAGAGCAAATTGCAAAAAAGTCGTCAACACAAAAATTTATCAACCAGTTTAAGCAAGACTTCTCTATTGTGTTGACACTGTAACAAGAGATCAAAAGGAAAACAAACTACAAACACCAAACAGAGAAAAAGAGAGAGAAAAACAAAACAAAAAAAGAGATTAATATCAGAGGTCAAATTTTTGCTTGCAAAAATCCAATGAAACAAAGCCTAAAGAAAAATACTTTCTTCTCAAAGTGTATTATAAATTCACACACTATAAGGCAAAATAGCCGCGAAATTCAACAAGAAATTAAAATATTAATTGCCGAAACAAAACATAGACGACTATACCGCCCCAGAGTTGCCAAAATTTCTACCTTGTTTGATTATGTTAAATCTATGTTTTTGTAAACCTGGTTTTTATTTATATTTTTTTTTTTGTATATTTAATTTTGTATTTCTAATGTTTACAATATACACTTCTTATATTTATCTTATTGTTAACTTGTTAACGTTAGCCGCCGATAAAATTCCTAAAGTAGTTTGTTACACTAATTAAAAACTATTTTTCAGATTATTGCAAACGACTTCTACATCATCTACAACGATCGTTTCGTCTGGACCAATAATTTCATTTTCCAATAATTCTCAACCACCACACCGACATAGAAAAGAAATCATAATAACACCTCCAACTTTGTCACCTACTTCGAAATTATTAAGAAAGCACAATTCGCATAGTGCTTTGGTACAAAAAAAAAACATCCCAAAAAGCTCGCGTATTTTGAAAGGTACTTATGAATTGGAATCGTCAAAAACGTTAGAAAACCTTTTGAGAAAACGTGAAGACGATTTACGTAAACGTCGTCAACATGTGGAGCGTCTTTTGCAATGGCATCAACGGTTAGACGAAGAAGAAGCTGAGGTTTTACACTTAGAGGAGCAATTGTTGAATTGCAACAACAACAATGACAACGGATTGCAGACGGGTTGTAAATTGGAATCTACTGAGAAGTTGACAGGTGTGGGTTACGAACACTCGGATCCTGGCCCAAAAAAATCGCTTCAAACGAGACGCTCCTCAAGAGCGCGTAAAATGGAAAGACGCGTCATAGAGATCGATAAAAGTTTGCGCGACTTAAGCCATATTTCGTCGATAGGTTCCAGTACTGGTACCAACAGTATGGCCATGGGCCAGAACAGTGATGAAAATACAGCCAGTGTTGCTACGATCGAAATGGAATATGTGCGTACTACCGGTAATAAATTGAATAAGTTATGGCGGCGTCTCACCTCCCAACAACTTGAAAAGTATGATCCCGCCCGTCGCTACAAGCTATGCAAAGCAGACTTAGAACAATTATACGAAGAGGCAAAATTAGCAGTATTAAGAGAATTTGCTCATGGTGAGGAACGAATAACGGCAGAACTGCTAGAGAAAAGTGCTTCCAACCTCAGCTCTAGTTCTAGTCCTGCCATTAATCTCCAAGAAACACAAGTAAGTAGTGGTGATAAAGAACCCTTGATTGTGCCACGGCTGAACTTAAACTTTAGTTCAGGTCAGTCTGAGCAGGATGAGGATTCTAACACCACTACTAACACGGCCGCCGGTGCTAATACACAAGAATGTATCTATCGCCCCAGCGTAGCAGAAGAAAACTTCAAAGCTCATCAGCACGTATTACTTAGTACTTCGGATACGGAGAGTGCGTCAACGAAAACACAACGCTTAGAACGTAATGTACAATTGTTTTTGGCGCTTACAAAACGCATAGTTGAAGCTCATGACAATGGCAGCCCAGAATTGCAACGTAGTTTAAGTGACACTCAACTAGCAGATCTAACCGACGTGGCCATAAGTAAGAAGTCTACAACTAGTCATAAAAATGTAGCAAGTGCTAGTCAAAGGCGGCAATCATCTCCGGCGAGCATCAGCGCAAACAAAAATTCGAGAGCAATACATAGGCATTCGAAATCTTCCACTATTGAATTATCAAACATTCCTAATATCAACTCATTCACTGGAACAGAAATGTTGGAAAACTTCTCGGCTGTTCAGCAAACTAAGGTAGAAGGAATAACGACTCGGTCTGCTATTATTTGTTCAGCAGTTAAAGTAACGCCATCTGCGGTGTCTACACAATTTGAGAGCCCACATAGAAAAACACAGACTTACCATGAAATTCCAAAGAAATCTCATTTATCAAGACAATTAGGAACTAGCCAAGCCCAAGAGATTTCTGTACAGTCAAATCAAATGAGTTCACACGCTTTTAGTGCAGAAATTCTTAGTGCGAGCAGTGATGGCATTGGTGAATCGAATATTAGTACTGATCAGTCGTTCTCCTTGAATTTTGAAAGTATTGCCATTGAAGAGCCTTTATCACCAAGTAACAATTCTGGCAACTGTTGCACCGAGGACATTAAAAAAAAAAATAGTCCTCTCATAAATAACACAACATATAACATTGCATTATTTGACTCAAAAAAATGCAGACGAAATTATTGCAACGAAGAACACATATCAAAGCACTCCTCCATGGAAAATTGTGCTATTGACGTCAATGGGTCTGACTGGAAATGTGAAGTAAATGATGAAACTCGCATGAAAGACATGTTCCTGCCAGTATTTGATGATACTGTAGAAATTGTTCAAGTGGAAGAAGAAGAATTGGACAAACAATTTGAAAGTTTAACGTCAGCCAGCAGCAAAGACAAAGAGGATGCTTGTTCTACTTCGACTACGTTAACACCTGGGAATTACTCCCCAGAGGAATGCAAAGAGCTTCAAACAAATCAACCACTAGAGAGAGGAAGAGCAGAAATTTTACCGTCACCTCCTTTATTACCTTCGCAAATTTCTGTTGTAAATCAAATTGCCACCAACAACACCCACCAATTCACTGCTGCTACTGCTACACAACTTATGCCCGATATTATTAATGAACTTGAACTAAGACGTCATCAGCTTATTATAGACCATGAGGTGAATATACGCTGTAGCATATAATATTTATTTACATTACAACAAATTTTTTAAATTAATTTTTTTGTTTAATTATAGCATTTAAGGCAATATGAACATGTGGCTGCTGTTCCGTATATGTACGTGAGAGAAATACCAAATAAACCTCCGCCACCGTACGTGCCACCAGCTCATGGTAGTCCAATGACCGCGATTTTCCCTTCTGAAGACCGTATTAAAGAAATAACGTATAGAAGGACTCATGAATTGTACTGCGAACTATTAAAGACTGGTAAGTTTGGTGCAATGGAGGAAAAGTTTAGAGTATTAACAAGTTGCGAAACAATTGAAGATTAGCAAAAGTTTATTTATATTTACTATGAAATCAATTATGAAGCTGTTTTGTTTGCTCTATACAAAACATTGGTTTTAATTAAAAACAACTATAATCGAACAACAACATTCATTAGATATGTTGCACCATTTGTCCTTCGTTTAGTTCTGTGATAAAATATCACTAATAATTGCTTGCTTGTAAAGGCATACTTCTAATGAGAGTCCTTTTATAAAAGTAAACCCAAAACAACAACTGACGTGGTACAAACTAGTAAAACGAGTGGCTTATGATATCTTTATTCTTCACATATTTTCGTGATAAAGTACTAAAAATTAAACTGGATTATTTCCCGTGGAGTTAAACTTACGTGATCCAAATTAGGTAAAGACTCACTTTTCGCAGTAAACATTCTTAGGTGATTTGGTCGCTTGATTCATTTTTTTACATATATGCTTAGAACAACGAATGCGCAAAAAAAGCAAAAATTGCCCAGCGTATGTTTTGTTCATGTCTGTATATTTTCAGATTATAGCAATGAAAAGGGTGAACATCTGCCGTCGGTCATGGATGAGCAAATCACTAACATATATGAACGCATAACTTTAGATATTTGTCGGGAATTTTTGGAGCAGCACAGCGAAATTCTGCGCGATGGTGATCCTATCAATTTTCACCATCAGTTAGCTTTTTTTAACCCACCAAATCGTTTACGTTGTATACAGAATGCTATCTATAAAGAAGTCCGTGCTTGTCTAGCAATGGATAAAACACAACTAAAACGTACACAAGTGTATTCAGTGTATGGTCAACGAGCCAAACAGGACCACATAGGCAAGATTATCATTCAGGAAATGTATGATGAAGATGATCGGTGGTGCACTTTCTATCGTGAAGAAAAAGAAGTGCTTGAGCTAATTGTGGAAGAAATGATCAACAAAAAAACAAAATTTGAAGCTGAAAACATACTAATGGAGGAGGGCAGGAAATTTGAAAAAGAACTAGAAGAAAACAAGCATGAAGTTATAGGAATGGACGAGATCAATTACTCAAAAATCCAATTGCAGTCATGCCATATAAATCGAGAGCAACCTTCACCTACAGAGTCATCCTCAATTATAGTAGAAACGGTCAAAGAAGTCGATGAACCCAGCTTTACCAATGAAAATGCGAAATTAGCAAACCATGCGAATGTTGAAGACTTCAAGTCACTTGACTCAGAGTTAGACGCAACACAACTTTGTACATAAACTTAAACCATAATTTTTTTACTTTCATTTTGTAAGTTTCATACTACTATTCCAATTTGTTGGGGATATGTTATTCTTTAAAAAAAATTTCTATATGTTTGTTTTCAAATTTTCTAACAAAGGCTTTCCCTATCCCTGGTTTGTAAAAATTCCTTTTCAGTGTACTTATTTTTAATAACTTTTCCTCTATTTAATCTTTAATAATTTAATTTTAATCTTTTGATATTCTTTTCCATTTTTTTAATAAGCATAACTTTATGCTGACGTGTATTTTCTTACGACATATATTGGTCTTTTGTACTTATTTTGTATTTATATATTAGGTATTAAATATAAAAAAAATTCAAGTTATACTTTTAGGATCAATTATCTTGAATATTATATTGACTATTTATTTCGGAAAATCTTTCACATAAATGAGCCTTATCTCTTAACTGTTTCAACTTCAATAGTCGTAGATCTCTACCCACTTTTTTTGCTTAAAAAGTGTTAAATAGAAAAAACAAGAAAATTCTGTTCTTCAAAAATAAAAATACATATGTATGTAAAATAAATTTTAAAACAAAGTCACATTCAATAATAATAAAATCAGAAAAACTTATTACACCTTATAAAATATCGGAAAAGAAAAATTATTTGTTTGCACTAATACTTATCATTTTATTTTGTATTTATTTCAATTTTACAGGGAAATATTATTATTGTACTAATAACTTTTTCTGAAAGTGTACTTAACTCGTAACAACAGAAAAATAAATATTATTTGGATGTCCTCACAACTTAAGCGTCAAAGAATTGACCTTTTGGCCTTCCATAAGCTTATTTTCCATATAAAATATAATGAAAATTCCATTCCCTGTAAGCAAAATTTATTTAGAATTAAAACAAATACTACGGATACTGCGCATATGAAGGTCTTGTGGTGAGGGTAAAGAGGTTAATAACTTTATCCTGTGAACTTTTATTTATTTTGAAACATTTGCTGGTTTGTGCGGATACGCGTCCAGATCTACCAGGCGTGTAACTTGTATTTAATAGTGGGGGCCACGATGAATAGAGAATTTGAAGAATAGAGTTTCAGTCAGATGTTCCGGAAAACAGAAAATGAAATTTGCAATAGAAAAAATTATGTACTGTATATACAGCTAAAAGCTAGAAATTTATATTCTGAGATATGATGCGTTGTCTATGAACACGTTGTTGTGAACATTACAGTCCAGGGCTGAGAGAGTCTAGTGGAAATAATGACCTCAAAGTAAAACAATATACAAAATTGCTAAAAAACAATAACAAAAACGGAAAGCGAAAATACTCAAAATGACAATAATATTTGGTAGATTTGCTTTTATTAATCGTGTTTATGGGAATTCGGAGATACTTGCAGTTTCATAATTTTTATTTCCGGATATTCGATATGCAAACCTATGTGAAAATAGGTTTGATTCCGTATTTGAATGGACGGGATTGCCCAATGACCGGCTATAATTCAAGTTCTGCGGCTTATTAGTTATAGGGTAATGTTATTCATTTGGATTCCCATATTACATGATAGATTTTCTGACCTCATCTTTTAATTTCTGCATACTCTTGCTGTTTATTCTATTGCCGCTTTGATTATGTCCTGAACGATTAACATGGATTCCATCATTTTTCCTAAGTCTTTCAACTATTTTTGAGACTAAAATAAACCGGCAACAAAGTTAGTTACTGTTTAAGATGTACTTGTTCATTGTTTTTTTAAACCTTTCTAATTGAGTGCAAGATCTCTTCGGCTTTGTCCTCTTTATCCATTAAGTTATGCCTTTAGAAGACAGAGAGAAATGGTTAGTGTTTGGATAACTAATCAATATATTGTTTACTTTTTGTAACACTTTATCAAAAGTTGCACCTGAGTTGGAAAAAGCCGACACCACACACTAAACATAATTTTAAGAATTTTGAAGTTCAACAAAAAGATGTTTTAATTTTTCTTATAAGCTCACGGCAACTGTTTGGTACGCTTGCTTTTAAAAGTTTTGGCACAAAAATAACGAATGATAAAAATTTTGATTGGAACAAAGAAAATGTGGAAATCCAAGTGGGAAGACACTTGGAATTTTCCATACGACTGCTTGCTTCCCATAGTTTAAAACTGATGACGTTTGTAGGTCTAGCATATTTACTCAGAATAAATTCAGTTATTTTGTTAACTGGATTTCAATATGTTAAAAAATTAAAGCTCGCTTACAGTTAAATTAGCTAATTAATATAATAGAAAATAATAGTCACTTATGTTGACACACTGCCTTTGTTTATAACGCTAATCTCCCCGTCTTCTTAGTATTCTAAACAAACGCTATAAAATTGTGGGAATATTAATGATTCCTTATGTAATCTATTATTAGATAATGATTATTAAGATTACCTAAAATAAAATAAAAAGTTTAATGATTACCACTCCATACCTACCATAAAATATATAGACTATATTGTGCAGAGGGGAGAACAGTTCCGGTTATTATCAGTTAATTTTTATTTTTGATGTAGATTTTATTGGAGGCCTTGGATTGCTCTAGTTTAGGCAGGTTAGTCATGTTTACGCTGATGCTCAGTCCGCATATTAATTGTTATAAATTGTTACATTTTCGGCATATGTCGCTATCTCCGATTCGAGGGATAAGACAATTTACAGGCAAATCTTACCTGATTGGCTCTTTTTGTTGTAGTCTTTAACAGCAATAATGTTTGACTGTTATCGTCATACCATTTTTATCAATCAGTGTATTTGTCCACCGGCGCTTCAGTTGATTTAAAAGGTTTTCTTCCTTCATTTACTTTTTTTAATTTCTTCTTCTAATACCTTCATGTCTTCTGATGTTTTATTTACGACTTTTTTCAATTTTTTTTGCAAATTTTCAAGGGCTTCTAATTGCTTTTTCAATTTTTTCAAATCTTCTTGTGTCTAAGTAGGAAAAAGATTTGTCTAACTAATACAACATGTTTTATTCAAGTATGTCTATCTACTTTCTTTAGGAAATATATAGATTCTTCGGCTTTCCGCTTGTCATCCAAGAAACGGTCATCCCTAGAAAGAAAGATAATAACTCAATCTTGTTCTATATCATAGTGTAAGATTTCTAATGATACCTATAAAATCGTATTAATAGTCGTAGAGCCGACGTTATTGAGGAGCGGCGCAACATAGTTTTTTTAATAATTTTTTTTTAAAGAGCAACGTAAAAATTGAACTAGAAATTTTTTAAAAAATATTTTCACATGATGTTCTCTGCTGACAGTATTCAATTACGTGTCTTCGAAAAATTTGGGAAAGGTAATTCAAATTTTCATATGTAACACAAATTTATTATCAAATATTTTGGATAAGGTGTAAAGTTTAAAAAGTTAAGCAATTATTTGAGGTAATGCACGTTGTAATAAGGTAATTCTTTCATTCCTCAGTTTCTTTGTTGTTCAGATCTTATTTCTTTCTCTCTTCCTCTTTTTCTTTCATTTTCATAGCCTTATCGTTAGCGGCAGACAAATCCTTTACGGCTTCTTTTGTATCGTTCACCTCCTTTTGAAGTTTTCGTTGAAGCAATTCCAAAGCTATTAAATGCTGTTTGAGCCTTTTTAAATCTTGTTTAGTCTAGAATTACAGCGAAAGTTCAACAAGCATAAGCAAATTTGACTTTTTAAGTAAACATATTTTGCCTTATATCGATTACCTTTTGCATAAAGTATAAGCCCTCCTCGGCTCTCCTTTTCTGATTCAACAAGCTGGCATCTCTCCTTCAAAAAATTTTTTTAGTCATTAAAAATTGAACTTTTTACATTAGATTACAAATTTTACCCCTTATATCGGGCTATAAACTGAAATGTGGGCAAAAAACGAACGCGGGACTTAAACATGATAAGAATTCAAATTTTTGGAATTTCGAAATTTTTTAATGAAATTTTTAAAACCGAAGTTTCTTTTCAGCTCAATGATTACCGAAATTTTTTTTTAGTTTTTTGACAAACTTCCTAATGTTAATAAATGTAAAGTTATTTCTTTTGAATGCAATAAAACAAAAATGAAGACGTCGCACACAAGTCAATTCAGTCTTGTCCATCTGTTTGCCCTGTATGTCTGCATTTGTGTTGGTCAAACTGGTGAAGGAAACTTTAATATTCCTTAGTATAGACGTCAATTTGCCCAGAGGCAGGTGGCATGTCAGTCATGGGAATAGCTCTTGTTAAAAATTCAGAAGACCAGGAGCACAAATCGTAAGCACATGCGCGAATTAAATGTTAAGTCAATTAAACCATAAGCGGAATGATATGAATAAAATCAATGCAGCGGAGAACGTTGTTTAAATAGAGAAAAAAGCAGATACGAAAGTTCATAAAACATTATAATGAACTGGAAAATAAATTTAATGCGAGAATATAAACCGTCCATCCTTTCTTAGCTTTCATCCGCCCTAATCGAAAGAATTTCGTCTACGATTGCTTATGTGAGTCTGAATCTGAAGAAAAGCGAAATATTGTTCTTTTTTAAGCAAATATCATCATATTATTATTATTTTCGGTACACTGGAAAGAACATAAGTATTATCTAAATATAAATATAATTACCTCTCTTAATAAGCAAATTTTCCATTAAAATACCTTAGTAAAAATATGCTTACCTCATTGTTTGGAATATATTTATGGAGCTTTTAGAATGCTTTTTACCTTATAAAGATAAAACTGCATTTCATTTTGCGCAATCAGCTTGCCAACGAGTAAACGCAATGTAGTTTCCTTATTTTTAGTGAGAAGAAAGCTTTTTGTAAATTTCTAATATCCTTGCTTTATCCCGTATATGTGGAGAAGAATAAAGATACAATACATTTATTTATAATGTATTAAAGTGCGTATACGGTCTCTGCTTTTGGGAACTGGAAATCTTAAATGAAAGCATTTAATATCAACATTTTAGAAATTGTGTTAATGTGAGAGAGAGTGAGATAGAGATCAGATTAAAAGTGTGGAAGATCGTTATATTTAAATTCAATTAATCAAAGTAATTTAGATGTACTTTGTGAATTATTAAGATAAAATCGCAGTCGTATAGGAGTACGGAAGGGACATAAACAAATTTGTGAATTTTTGTTTAAACATTAAAAAATTTTTAATAAAAAGCAATAGACCGTTCTTTACGATTTCTGACTGGGTGCAAAGATCGGTATTGAGGAAAGTCTTGGAATTAATTTGCAAACGTTCAGCTCAAATTTCCGTTAATTTTGATCTGAAGGCGTTACAGGGCGTACGGTAATTATCCTGAAATTTTGAGTAAATGGGAATTCATAATATTGGCAGAGCTTCATTAAAAGTTTATGCTTTTTTTTACTTTTGAAGTCGTAATTATAGGGCTTTTTTATTTTTGGATGTTGAGTTTGAATGGACTAAGCCAATGAGAAATATGGCTTATTGTTGAAAAATTCGGCTGAAAATATTATATTTTAGAGAAGATTTTCACTAAATGTAAAAATTAGAACTAGTGAAAAATTAACGAAAGTTAAAAAGATAGATTCGATTTTCTAACAAAGCAAGTTACTTCTCCAAGATAACGCTCGCTTTTTTCTGTAGAGATCGGAGAGGTCATCATATAAATTAAAAAAAATTGGAAGAAATTCTAATGCCCTCGAACCTTTGGCATCTGAAGATGATATATTCCGCAGATTCTTCAGAGGATCATTTATTACAGGAAGAATTATTTTTAAATGTACTGTAACGTAAAACGCTATTTGTCGTTTTACGTTATTTATTTTACTTCTTTTGAAATTAAGTTCGTACCGCTGAATTGCGATTTTTAAGAAGGTATAGATTTTATTTACAATTCT